TCCCTTGACCCTTAAACCTTGCTGAACAGTCTTGCTTGGTCTAAGTCGGGTGGCTTGCCCCATTCTTGCTGGTGCTTGCTTTAGGAGTGGACATGTGACCCAGTGGGGTGGGGATGGGAAGGGGAATCTCTTGATCATACCATTTTGTCCTTCCACAGTAACATTAAAGAATGCCTACTTCCCCGTCGCCTCATTGACATTGCTTTAGAGGAGGCGGGGCGCATGCAACAGTGACTTAACACGACATAGGTTTATTTCTGACTTACATACGGACAGGGCAGTGTTCCTCTGAGCAGCAACTCAGCAATCCAGGCTGGTGGAAGCTCCACCATCCTGAGGCTTACACCAAGTGGAACACTTGACCTTCTCCCTCGGTAGTTGAGTTTTAGAACAGAACTGGAGAGTCTGTTAAGTCTGCTTGCAGAGTTATGGATCAGAATGAGTCGCATGCCAAGCCTCAGTGAAGGGGGACCAGGGACTTGGATCCTCCATATCCTCAGAAGTAGAGGAGAACTGGACATTGGTGAAATTATATGTCCAACTTTTAGATCTCTGCCAATCTTACAGGTGAAAAAAATGTTCAGAGTAGTTTTATTTTGCATTTCTCATATTAGGAGTGAGATTGAGCATCTTTTCATCTATTTAAGGACCACCATCGGCAGTTATGGTACAATTAACGTACAACCAGACTTGCCCCTTCTGGGGCTTTCCTACTCAGTTTCTGTTTTCCGTCTGAGAGAAACATCTTTTCCCCTCCATGATTGGTAGGACAGTGGTGACTGACCCTGTGAAAACTTGAGCTACAGCTGAGATCCCACCTTTTCAGTAATACTAATAGTTTGATTCTCATTATAAAATAACTTCCAACGAATAGCCGTAGCATTCATTCTATATAACTTATATACCATCACAGGAGGCAGGATGGTCATTCTGTAATAGTAGGAGCCAGAACTAGAAATCTTTGCCTACATGTGCTTACATGTTATGAGTCTTGCATCAACCATCTCTATTTGAGGGAGGAAGTATCTTTTTTTTTTTAATTAATTAATTTATTTGAGAGAGAGGGAGAGCGCATGCATGTGCATAGGGGGAAGGGTAGAGGGAGAGGGAGAGAGTGAATCTCAAGCAGACTCTGCCCTGAGTGTGGAGCCTGACCTCATGATCCTGAGATCATGACCTGAGCCTAAACCAAGAGTCGGATGCTTAACTGACTGAGCCACCCAGGCACCCCTTATTTTTGTTTAAACCCCCAGATCACCTAGGATCCTCCCACTCTGTTCCTCATGCAAAGCCTATTCAAAAAGTAGTCAAAACTCAGGGTGCCTGGGTGGCCCAGTCAGTTAAGCATCTGACTCTTGATTTGCCTCAGGTCATGATCTCAGGGTCATAGGGTCAAGCATGAGCTGGGAGTCTGCTTGTCTCCCTCTCCCTCTGTCCCTCCCCCTTCCCCTCTCACATGAGTGTGGGCTCTCTCTTTCTCTCTCTAAAATAAATAAATCTTAAAAAAAAAAAAAGGTAGTCACAACTTAGGTCAGCCTAACCTTCCTGGGGTTAGGTAATCAGATCGATTGGTCTATACCTGTAACACTGGAGTGACTCAAGGATCAGCCATTCATGGTATAACCATCTTCTCCAGGCAAGCTTTCTGTTGCAATAATTAGAAACTCTGATTCAAAATAATATAAGCAGTAAGGGCATTTGCCATTTCCCATAACACAAAGTCTGTAGTAGGGCAGTTCAAGATGCAGGATCTCCAGACCCTAGGTCTGCTTCTCTCTGATTTTCTTGGTTCTAACCACGGTCAGATTTGGGCTTCATTTTTTCTCTCGGTGGTGTCTCGATGTCTGCAACCACCCCAGGCCTCACATCCAGTCATGACAATGCCCAGTGGAAGAAGGACTGTTACTTTTTGTGTGTGTGTCCCATTTTAAGAGCAAAGAGCAGTTCCTCAAGGAATCTTCCAAGAGATTCCCCTTCCCATCCCCACCCCATTGGGTCACATGTCCACTCCTAAAGCAAGCACCAGCAAGAATGGGACAAGCCATGCCCGACTTAGACCAAGCAAGACTGTGCCTTTGTCTTTGGGAAGAAGAAAAAATGACTCCTGGGAGCCATTCGAGCAAATGTGGACTAAAATTCAGAAAAAAGAAGCCCTTTCTAAGATCCTGAGATAATGGACATTTATGTGATGAATAAACTCAGCACACATGGTGTGCTGAGCATCTTCTGGGAACTGGGATTAGGGATGCGAGGGTGAATATTGTATGGCTCTGCCTGGTGGTGCTCAGTCTAGGGAAGGAATCAGAACTAAGCCATCATCGGATTTTAACCTGGTTCCTCAATAGCATTCCTACAGAGAACAGGGTTTTCAGTTATGATGAGAATTTCACTTTTTTCCCCCCGAGTGTTATTGAGATATAATTGACATATAACATTGTATTAGCTTGAGGTGTACAACATGATTTCATACATGTATATATCACAAAATGGTTACCACAGTAAGTTAACATCCATCACCTCACAGTTACGTTTTTCTTGTGATTTCAAATATATAATACAGTATTGTTAACTATAGTCACCATGCTGTACATGACATCCCCAGAACTTATTTTTTTTTTTAAAGATTTAATTTATTTATTTGAGAGAGAGAATGAGATAGGGAGAGCATGAGAGGGGGGAGGGTCAGAGGGAGAAGCAGACTCCCTGCTGAGCAGGGAGCCCGATGCCGGACTCGATCCCGGGACTCCAGGATCATGACCTGAGCCGAAGGCAGTCGCTTAACCAACTGAGCCACCCAGGCGCCCTGAATTTATTTATCTTAAAACCAAAAGTTTGTATCTTTTGACCACCTTCACTCATCTCACCCATCCCCCACCCCTACCTCTGGCAACCCCCAAACTGTTCTCTGTGTCTCTGTGGGTATTTTTTAGATTTCATGCCTAAGTGAGGTCATACAATATTTTTCTTTCTCTGTCTGATTTGTTTCATTTAGCATAATGCCCTCAATACCCATCCATGTTGTTACAAATGGCAGGATTGCCTTTTTTTTTTTTTTTGGCTGAATACTATTCCATTCCATGTATACACACACACACTGCGTTTTCTTTATCCATTCATCCATCAGTGGATACTTCGGTTCTTTCCATGTCTTGACTGTTGTAAATAATGCTGCTGTGAACATGGGGGTGCAGATATCTTTTCGAGACAGTGATTTCATTTCCTTTGGATAAATACCCAGAAGTGGAATCGCTAGATCATATGGTAGTTCTAGTTTTAATTTTTTTTTTTTTAAGATTTTATTTATTTATTTGACAGAGAGAGAGACAGCGAGAGAGGGAACACAAGCAGGGGGAGTGGG